TTTAATATGATTAATCTTAAAGCTCTGATTATACCTAAGAAGATTCATTTGCTTCCAAAACAATTAAGTTTTAAATTTTTGTCTTGATTGACTTTGGAGTATTAGTATTCGACTCAAAATTAGAGCTTCTATAATTTCTATGGTTCTAATCAATGAATCTTTGTCTTTCTTTGTTTGATGAGCTTCCCGATAATTCACTTAGATGATTTGATAAGCTTTATTATTTATGTTATATTTTATTATCCTTAATTTTATAATAGGATTCATAATTCTCTTAGACAACTTCTAGAGGATTTGTCTTTACAGTATCATAGCACTTTTATTTTGCAGAATCTATCTTTATAATTACATCAGCAGTATCTAATTCCTTATTTTTATTCTTCTTATTTTAAGAGAATGCATTTTTTCTATGTTCATTACATTAGGAATCTTAAGCTCTGCCATTCAATTTGAAGTTATATAAGTGTCTCAATTTTTATTTTTTATATAATTAGTTTCTTTATTTTAAAGGTTTTTAATTTTTAAAATCATCATCTTCGAGTTATATTTTGATGCCTTTGTTAGCCTAATTCTCAGTTTATTTCCAACTTCTCTAAGAAGATGAAATATTACTTTCATTATTTAAGCCTTGCAAATTTTTTCCAAATTTTGATTCATTTTTATCTATAAAGTTCATATTTAGTTGTGATTCATCGCTATTCTGAGATAATTCAAGTTAATGATTTTAGAAAAATAAATTATCTTCTTCATTACCATTTTAAGATTCATAATCAGTATCTGATTTATCCCTATTAATTTTAAATTATTGAAAATTAATTGCTTTCAAATTCTTCATACCTCTCCTAGATTAGTAAGTCTTCATATTTAAATCCCTTTTTGCACTAGCGGATCGTTTTACTTCAAAAATTTTAACCAATTTCTTAATCTTGGATAATATTTTTTCATTAATTTTTATATCGCCTCAAAACATTATTTCCTAGAGTTATTTGATTAACTTCTATAATTCTTAGTCCTACTTTTCTAAAGCTATTTTAATGTCATATTAAAAATTTTCTAGAACTAATTTTTTTTTATTTTGGCAAACACAAAGAGTTAAGTAAATCTGCTAAAAATTTCTTCTAAATTTAGATCTGATCTCTTAAGATATTTTAAATGACCAATAAATAAAGAAAAAAATGTTACATAACAGAATTATCGCAAAGAAAAATCTTTTGAAGAAAATAGAAAGTGAAACTGCACTATTAGCATAGTCTGGATTATTTTCAATCCATTGCTAGGGTTTGTCAAGAATAAAGAATAATCCACAATAAATTGTTGCCATTGAGGTTACTAATGAAAGTGTCTCTAATTCATTTAATGCCTTCGTATTAAATGGCTGAAATTTAGAGTGAAACATTAAGAACAAAATAAGGATAAGAAACATAATTAGAGCTTATGCTATTATTCCAAAACTACTAATGAATACGGAGATAAAAATAATTACTATTTTCCTGTACATTATTACAATTTCCCAGTAAAAGAATTCAATTTTATAACCACGATATAAAAAACCATACATCTCTCTGATATGATAGTTTTCTAGATCCTATTTGAGTTTGAATAAAATTGCCAATGCAAAAAAAGGAATTCCTATCCCCCATATAAGAATGCTTGGTAATGAAACAAAATAGCTGTAGAATGAATGAGCATTATCCCAGCAA